ATTGGTGTTAATAAGTTGCTTGACCTATCAACTGACTCGAATTACAAAATTCATATGCAATCATAGAAAAGACTTGTTTGTGCATGAGACAAGTCTGTTGTTCGATATACAAGTGTGATTCAATACATTTTTCATTTTTCATACTTTCGGTTGCGCCGAATGGCCAATCACTTTCTGCCAAGTGGGTTCTGTAAAATGCCTGGGAGCCATAAAACCGCAGGCCAAGAAACATTTACTTGAAGGTGAAGCAAGGCATGTCCAAGTTCCCATACCCTCCTCCCTTTAAAAAGATGCAAAGCTTCTTCTTGGGGCGGGCAGCCAAGTAGAGAAAGTTATTCTTAACTAAATATCTTCTGAATATCTGTCCTGGTTTTTTATTTTTTAACAAACTATGATTGAATGGCCTTTTATTTATGTGCCACAGTATTTTTTACCATATTCATCCAACCCTATCCAACCCCCATTCCCCATTACTAACTGCAGAGAATTTTCAAAGCAGACGAGTGGGATTGGTATTTTATTGACAGGACTTTTCCATAGAAATGTTCAATGTTTGTTTTTTAGTATTTGTCATTCAAAGAAAGAAGGAAAAAAAAAAAGAAGAAGAAAAGAAGAAAAATGCTTCACTTTCATTTATGCAAAGCAATTAAATGGTTCTGAATCCTACGGTATTGGTCCTCTGTTGTCATTGGCCACACTTTCCTGGCCAAAATGCAATCAGACCAAGTTGGTGTGTGGACAAGTAGTCCTCCACAGCTGGCCTCAAGGCTTGGTGGAGGGCTTTGCTTTGCACATGGCTGGCTGGCGTTCAATCTTTGGAGGTAACATTTAGCCAAAAAGGCCACAACATGTGACCAAAGGTCATTGTAAATTTGTTAGATTTGATGGGCATTTGATGCTCTGTCTCTGAATTTTTCTTTTTCTTTTTGGCGTCACAAAAACTCTCAATGTGTGGTACGGTGTACCCTGGCACGGTGCACGCTCTTTCTCTCTCTCTCTCTGCTTTACGCTTATAAATATTAACATTCTGACCTTAACCTCACTGCCTATAGCAGCCCTCTTGTCCGCTTCTCAGTGGATACAGAGATTTTTTAGGAGCAGCGGTTATTCCTCCATTGAATCTACTTTTAGCTACAATGGTGGAGGCTCAGAGCAAACCCATGAATGGGGTTAATGGGATCCATAACCACAACAAACAAGATGAAGCTGATTTTGACCCAAGCGCCCCTCCTCCCTTTAAGATAGCTGAGATCCGCGCTGCCATTCCCAAACACTGTTGGGTCAAGAATCCATGGAGGTCTGTGAGTTATGTCTTCAGGGATTTGTTTGTGATATTTGCAATGGCATCTGCTGCCATTTACTTGGAAAGTTGGTATCTTTGGCCAGTTTACTGGGCTGCTCAAGGAACCATGTTCTGGGCTCTGTTTGTTCTTGGACATGATTGGTAATTATATCACTTTCTCGCATCTACATTTTTTTTCGTTTTTTCTTGCTTTTTATAATTTGGCATGAACTTTGGGTACCAGATTCTGTATGTATATATGTTCTCTGTTTCTAATGTAATTTGTTTTGGATTGAATAGTGGCCATGGAAGCTTTTCAGATAGTCGAACGCTGAACAGTGTCGTGGGGCATATATTGCATTCCGCAATTCTTGTACCTTATAATGGCTGGTGGGTTCCTCATAAACTTCTTTGCTTCAATCCATACATCAAATGATTTTTTTTTCCTTCCCTGTTTGAGCTCATATTATTAAATATCTTTAGATTGTCTTTTGAAAATGTTGTTGACGTGTGTGATTTCTACAGGAAAATCAGCCACAGAACTCACCATCAGAACCATGGACATGTTGAGAATGATGAGTCCTGGGTTCCTGTAAGTGCTTCTCTTAATTCACACTGCTCCTTCCATGTTTAATTTTGATTTTGTTTTTATTAGTCGCAATGCTAGCTCTTACTTTGCATTAATGTAAGTACTAGTTCTGATGTTTTAATTAGTTTTTAATTGCTAGTTAACATGTTTGTGTTTTGCTATCTTTGCTAGCTGACTGAGAAGGTTTATTCAAGTTTGCATGAAAGTACAAGAAAATTCAGATTCAGAGTGCCATACCCCATCTTTGCATACCCTTTCTATCTGGTGAGAAAACCCGTCTTTTATTGAACATATGTCTTCATGCTTAGATTCAAAATTGTGAGTTTCTGATGGTTCATGAAGCTAAGGTTTGCTTTTTATCTGCTGGGTTGCCATTCAGTGGACTAGAAGTCCAGGAAAGCAAGGTTCTCATTTCAATCCTTACAGTGACTTGTTTGCCCCAAATGAAAGGAAAGATGTGATAACTTCAACTCTTTGCTGGACAATGATGGTTGCCCTGCTCCTCTATCTGTCCTATGTAGTAGGCCCTGTCCAAATCCTCAAGCTCTACTGTGTCCCTTACTGGGTGAGCTCAATTTTAATATCTTCATGATAATTACAGCACCTGCAAACAGTTCATTTTTCCTAATTTTATACTTTTACTTGCAGATTTTCATAATGTGGATTGATTTGGTCACCTATTTGCATCACCATGGTTACGATCAAAAACTTCCCTGGTACCGTGGCAAGGTAAAACGATACATGGAACTCAACTATATTGATACTTGGATAACACTCACATGCTGCAAGTGAAGAACTTTTGTACTTAAAATTTGGAGATGTTATCAGAAGGGTTAATAAAATAAGAAGCTTTCTGTTCTCTCATGGTTTTCATTATGCAGGAATGGAGTTATCTACGGGGAGGCCTCACAACCGTTGATCGTGATTATGGAATGTTCAATAACATCCACCATGACATTGGCACTCATGTGATACATCATCTCTTCCCTCAAATCCCACACTATCACCTAGTGGAAGCTGTATGTTACTAACCTGTTCTTCCTTGGACAAATTTATCACTAGTTCAGAATTTACAATTTCAATCTATTAGCTAGCAGTAATTGATGGTAATTCTAATGCTGCCATTCACATGCTTATATTGCAGACCAAGGCAGCCAAGCCAGTTCTGGGAAATTACTATCGGGAGCCAAAGAAATCTGGACCATTTCCAGTTCACTTGATTGATAATCTAATGACAAGCATGAGCAATGATCACTATGTTAGTGACACTGGAGACATTGTATACTATCAGACTGACCCCAAGCTTTTCAAAAGTCTTAAGAGCAAGTCTAGTTGATTTTGTTTTTGCGTTAGCTCAATTGAGATGGCAGATATGAATTGTTTTCTCTATTGCATTATCTGCTGAAAAACCTTGAGAAGGATAGCTGTATTTGATGATTTGTTAGTTTCTAGCAAATAAACATGTTTTTGTCAATTTTGTTTTGAGTATTTTGTTCTAGCTTCTTAGTTTTTGACAATGGAAATCTATAGAGGTAGATGAAGTGGCTACAGGATAACAATTCATATCTTATGCAAACGCTTAAATCGCATTAGCCCCGTAAGGCTAAAGCCTAAAATCTTCATGTCAAATTTCAGATTTATAAATAAGCATAGATGATGCCAACGGGGTCTAGCCTAGTGGAAGAGGGCATTGAGCTTGACTTGCAGATAAGAGGTCTCAGGTTTGAACCCTCATGACATCATAGTTGTATGTGTTAGAAATCTCCCTCCCATATAATTTAGACTATCGCTTGTACTAAAAAAAAAAGAATAAGCATGGATACCTTAAGATCAATAAGTCCTGGGTCTGGGCTGGGTTAGACTCGGCTAGGCTGGATCAAGAATTGGAAATTCATAATGTTATTGGCCCACTAGCGCGTAGACAGAGTAATAAAAGAATGAAGACTCCTAGGAATGATTGTAATTCTTATGTTTTTGAAATGAACACATTTTTAATAAGATAAAACAGGCAGATTCAATTAATGAATAATAAGTGTTTGGTGGGCCGGACTGGACTGGTTAGGATTGCACTTAAGGTGTTGAATTGAGCTAGATTTTAAGTCCTATGAGTTGACAGTTACTAACATCATAGATGCACACAAACGTTGTTTCTCTAACTCTATTGCAACTAGAGTTGTCATAATCTTCCTCTTTTTCTTTCGATCCATATCTATCATGCAATTAATAATATTGGCAAGAACAAAATCATAATCTGTGACTTTATTTTTTATACTCAAACATAAACCGATTCTCACATTATATGAAACAACGTGGAAATGGATTATCACTAGGCAGATTAACAAACAAGTTTCACCCAAACTCATTTCATCAGTAAAGACAGTATACTTTAAGCACCCACCTAAGACATTTCATATACACTGATATTTTAGGCTTTTTACTCTTCCAATAGACAAAGCTTCACAGTCAGTAGTTGATAGCAAAACTGTGAATCATATCTAACATAAATAACTCCAACATAATTTATTTACGATGCTCAAGAAGCTTGAGAAGCTGCAACAAATTGAAATATACTCATTTGGTCGAAAACAAAAGTTTAATGATGATTTTAAAACAATGGGAAACTCAGGACAATAGGCAAAACAAAAGTTTACCCTCCGTTTGGATAAAGGAATTGAAAATTACATAGAATTCTAAAATGAAAGAATTTAGATTTCTATCATTTCAATTTTTGGCAATAAAGATTTCAGTGTTTGGATTTATGTATGTTGAATTTTGTAAATGGCACTATGAAAATTGTGAAATGACTCCTATTTTGGTGGAAATTAAACTCAGGAATTTGATGCTCTAATTTCCACACTTTTTTTTGCGCGTCATTTAATAAATTCCGTGCTTAAGTTGCCAAACCATGGAATTGTCAATTTCTCCTCTTAAATTCCCGAATTTTAACTAAGGAGATTGTATTCAATTTAGATTTTAAATGATTTTAAAAGAGTTATAAAGTTGATGGAGTTTAATTGAATTTAATTGAGTTTGACTGAATTCTACAAACTCCACATAGATTTTGACTGAATTCATGTATAGATTTTAATTGAGTTTGTTAGAATTTTATTATTGATTTTAATGGAGTTTATGGCGGTGGTGGTGATGCCAATGGTGGTGATGGCAATGGCGGTGGCGATGGTGGTTTATGGGGGAGGTAGTGGTGGAGGAGGTATGGGAGGTAGTGGTGGTGGCGGCAGCAATGAGGTGGTGGAGGAGGTGGGGGCGATAGTGATGGTGATGGTGAGAGTGAGGTGGTGGAGGTGGTGGTGGTGGTGGCGGTGGCGATGGCAATGACAGTGATGGTGATGATGCTGGCAATGGTTGTGGTGGTGGTGACGATGGGGCTGATAGTAAGGGTGGTAGTGGTAGTGGAGGTGGTGGCGGTGGCAGTGATGGTGCTAGCGGTAATAGTGGTGACGGTGGGGGCGGTGGTGGGTGGTGGTGAAGGTGGCGGTGGTGGTGGTGCTAGGGGGTGGCGGCGATGACGGTGGTTGTGGTGGCGGCGATGGCGATGGTGGTGGTGGCGACGACGATGACGATGACTGTGGTGGTGGTGGTGATGGCGGCTGTAGCTATGATGATAGTCATGATAAAATGGTGGTAGTAGAAGTGGTGAAATCATATCTTGAGAATAAAAATAAGGCTTTTTATCACAAATGATCCTTCACGTTTGCGAAATTATCACGAATGGTCCTTGAGGTATTTTTGTGACACTAATAGTCCTTAACGTTTGGGCTTTTTATCACAAATGGTCCTTACCGTTACAAATTCTGTTAAGTGTGACGTGGAAGATAAGTGGAGCCCACATGTCCAATCACATTGTGACATGTGGATAAAAAAAAAAATTATTTCTTAATGAAAATTCCAATTTTTTTTTTCTGCAACTTTTCATCCTCTTCCTTACTTAGTCTCTCTCCCCCTTTGCCCTCGCTCTCCACGCTTTGCTCTCCATCTTTTCTCCCTCTGTTTTTTTTCTTTCCCACTGCCACCTACAAGAAAAAAAATATAAGATATACAGTTGCTCTCCACCCTTTGCTCTCCATCTCTTCTCGCAACCCGCAACCCATGCCCAACAAAAAAGCGTCCAGAACTTGCACAGTTCAACATCAGTAACGTCTCTTAAATCAAATGAAATGTTCTTGAGATAGATTATCTGAATGCAAAGCAATGGTATGCAGACATTCTTTATGGAATTGGAACTACTGGAATTAGAGTAGTAATCATCTACAGACTTGAAACCAAATGAAACTGCAAGTTTTCACCAAAGGAGGTGTTCTCAGAAGATGAATGTCATATGGTATAACATCCAGAATAAAAAAGGTTTCTTGAACACAAAATACATACCACGAGTTAGTCCATCATCAAATTCCCTGACAGACTTAGCATTGGCAGCCAATGGAATGTTAAAATCACCACCCATGTCTTCAAAGAGTAGAGCATGCCTAGAGATGGAGAGCAACTGTATATCTTATATTTTTTTTTTTGCAAGTGGCAGTGGGAAAGAAAAAAACAGAGGGAGAAGAGATGGAGAGCGAGGGCAGAGGGGGAGAGAGACGGAGTAAGGAAGGGGGATGAAAAGTTGCAAAAAAAGAAGAAGGAATTTTGACTAAAAAATTATTTAATTATTTTTTTATCCACATATCACCATGTGATTGGACATGTGGGCTCTACTTATCTTCCACGTCACACTTAACAGAATTTATAACGGCATGGACCATTTGTGATAAAAAGCCCCAACGCTAAGGACTATTAGTGTAACAAAAAAACCTTAAGGACCATTCGTGATAATTTCGTAAACGTGAAGGACCATTTGTGATAAAAAGCCTAAAAATAATATAACTTTCAAAATCTTTTGGGGGGGAAGCAAAGATTTGTCATGGCCTCAAATTAGTCTATTATCAAACGAAATCCACCACTTTTTGTATTTCCTTTAAAATCAATGAGTTTTTGAATACACCTAAATTTTTATGAAATCTTTTAAAGTCGTGATTGAATACATCTAAATTTGAATGGAGTTTAAAAAGTCTGAATTGAATACACCCATAATTGAATAGACTTTTATAAAATCGTGATTGAATACACCTAAACTTTTAAAGTTCTTTAAAATCTTTTAAAATCTAAATTGAATACACCCCCTAAATTCCAAATTATTTTCCCCCATCCAAACGGAGGGAGGGATTTTTACTGGGCAAAATAGAAAGGCACCGATCAAAAGAGTTTCCGATTGCAATAACAAAATGAATCAACTCAAATCCTTCTTAGAGAAAGTAATCAAATTACAAACACAGCCAAACAGCTCATACATGAGATGCAGAGAGAAGTGAGACTTTGTCTATCCTGCTAATGAGTATAGACTTTGTTTATAAATATTGAAATGCAATAGATAATCACAAAATAACTGAGAATGCAGTGACATCAAATATCCTGCTAACTGCTACCAAATCTAATGCCGACTTTCTAACAAGCAAGATCATTTTGATATCATTGAAGAACACGAGAGAGAAATCCACCAATTAGTAAAGTTAATTACCTTATCAATGCACCAAGAATCAAAGGAATGGTAGCAATTTGAAAGGTCCAACAACAATCAGTAATTGCTGCAGCAATGAAAATACTTGTTGTAGCACTTGTTCCCCACTGACTATCCACGTAGAAAGCTAGGACAATAAATGGAAAAAACCCATGCTAGCCAAATGAAAATGCATCCCAATCAAAATCTGCAGAAACTAGAGCACTGAAAGTAAAAGTCTAATATTGAAGTTTTAATTGAGAGAGAGAGAGAGAGAACATTTGGAAAAATAATCACATGTGTGTTTATGTACACTTCTCCACAGTCCCACAATAACACATTAAGGAAAAATAATCATAAACAGCAAATTGCTTAGCATTTTTGTGATTATCAGTACTCTAGGAAAAATAATCATATGTGTGTTTTCCATGTGTTAACTTGATGAATACTAATTTAGGTGAATATGCTTCTACTTCCAATGCTATATCATGTTGCCCACATCAATTGTAAAAGTTCAAGCCCTACACTCCACCTCCACTACAGAAAAAGAAAAAAAAAACCCATTTGATAAGAAATTCCATTATACATGAAACCTATTTGTTTTGCTACACACTCATAGTATGTTGGGTTCCCCTACTAATCCAAGGGAATAAGGCGTGCTTAATGCAACTTCACAACACATACTAAATAGCGATGAACATACTACATCATCTTACTCACCTAGTTTAATTTCCGTCACAAATTAATTACTTTGATCCCCTGCTAAGTTACAAGCCCACACTATGAAGCTCGGTCATGAAAGCCTATTTATATGCCATTAAACGTGCAATAATTGCATCAGAAATTGTCTTAAACTTCAACATGTATGTACTTTAGATAAGGAGTGCGTGTGTGGAACAAAAGTTTTTCATGAAATATGTTGCTGATTGTAGTTTGTTTGTAATTTTTATGGTAATGACATGTTCTGATTTAAAAAAAAAAAAAAAAAAGAAGACAAAGTGCAAGGGCAATGGTGGAACTGATGAGGCATCATAATCAAGAGCAAGGTTCAATGAATAATTACTCTGAGTTCATTTTACTTAATAAATAAATTAAATACATTTTTTATGTTAGATTTGTGTATTTTTTTAATGGGTTAACTGGTGATTTGCCCCATGAACTTGTACCTAACTTTCGATTTACCCAATGTCCTTTTTTGTTAGAAAATTAAGGATATGAACTTTTTTTTTGCCAATTTCCCCCTTGCCGTCTAAATCCGCAATATTTCATCCAATTTTCCGTTAAATATGAGGGCAAACTGGTCATTTTGTATGTTAAAAATAAATAAATAAATGAAAAATAAAATAAAAAACAGAAAATTGAAATACTCTTTCTCTTTTTCTTTTTTTTTTTGTAGGTGCAGGCTGGGTTTTGTGGGTGGGGGCAGGAGCAGGGATCTGTTGTCACCGCCAGGGGGGAGGGAAGGGATGGGTTTGGATCTGGAGGCAAGGGCTGGGGGATGGAATGGGTCTGGGTCTTGGGGGACAAGGGCTGAGGGATGGGTCTAAGCTGAGGGTGGAACTCGAGTAGGGATGGGGGTGGTTGTATGGTGGCGTTGGGCGGTGGTCTGGGGGTGGATCTGCTGTGGGGATGAGAGAGAGAGAGAGAGAGAGAAATAGATAGATAGATAGATAGATAGATAGATAGATAGATAGATAGATAGATAGATAGATAGATAGATAGATAGATAGATAGATAGATAGATAGATAGATAGATAGATAGATAGATAGATAGATAGATAGATAGATAGATAGATAGATAGATAGATAGATAGATAGATAGATAGATAGATAGATAGATAGATAGATAGATAGATAGATAGATAGATAGATAGATAGATAGATAGATAGATAGATAGATAGATAGATAGATAGATAGATAGATAGATAGATAGATAGATAGATAGATAGATAGATAGATAGATAGATAGATAGATAGATAGAGATTTGAGGGTGGTGACAGAGAGATCAAAGGGGGAGGGTGGGGGAGATAGAAGGGGAAGGAAGGGAAGAGGAGGAGGAGGAAGGGAGGAGACAGAAAGGGAAGGAGGATTGGGTAATAATTTTTTAAAATGATTTAACTGAAAATTGGATAAAATGTTGAGGATTTAGAAGGTAGGGGAAAATTGGGGAAAAAAAGAAGTTCATATCCTTAATTTTTTATTTTTTATTATTTTTAAAGATAGAGACTGAATCGAAAGCTAGATACAAGTTCAGGGGGCAAATCACCTATTAAGCCTTTATTAATAACTAGTCATGAATACTCTAGTTCATGCATGCACTTGCCTATGATTCGTGCATCATCTATAGCTATATTAAGGGTGGCTTGTACCCTTAATCTATCCTTCCAATTTTCAACTTCACTATAAACTAAATATCTCTCTCTTTGAGAGTGTGTGTGGTTTTTTTTTTTCTCCTTGTGGATTCAAGGTACCCTTCCTAGTTGAAAGCGTAGATTTTCTTCTAGTTTACGCTTCCATGCTACATCAGGAACCCCACAGAAACCTTATCTTAGTTGCTCTTCTTCTATCACAAACACAACTGCCATGATTCGTGCATCATCTATAGCTATATTAAGGGTGGCTTGTACCCTTAATCTATCCTTCCAATTTTCAACTTCACTATAAACTAAATATCTCTCTCTTTGAGATTGTGTTTTTTTTTCCTCCTTGTGGATTCCAGGTACCCTTCCTAGTTGAAAGCGTAGATTTTCTTCTAGTTTACGCTTCCATGCTACATCAGGAACCCCACAGAAACCTTATCTTAGTTGCTCTTCTTCTATCACAAACACAACTGCCATGATTCGTGCATCATCTATAGCTATATTAAGGGTGGCTTGTACCCTTAATCTATCCTTCCAATTTTCAACTTCACTATAAACTAAATATCTCTCTCTT